TTTCCATATATTACTAAATACGCGCCAGATTTCGAAACATCACATTTCGAAATCTGGAAGTGTGTTTGCAGTACCATTATTCATATGATAACGGTAGTGTTTACACGCGGGGCTTATTGTATGTGAAAGTAACCTCGGAATGGACGTGAATTACCAGGCATTCTGAAATGAGTTGCTGGATCTGCAGTAGAGCTATCGCTTTCTAACTCCCGGACTAAACTTGCTTTAAATTATTACATCAAGGATTGTTGTAAGCAAATTTCTTCCATAATACCACTGCCGGCCAGTGGGGGTTAGATTGAATACACATACACACACACATACACATCACATGAACTTAAGTTTACTTTAATTGATTATAATTCAAATTGAAAAGACATAGAGGTTTTGGGCCTACGGGAGAAGAGGTAGTACAATTATTTTCACTCCCGCGAGTTTTCCTCTCAATCAATAGAAGAAAAAAAAAGATAAAACACAACATATTTCCTTCATTTTAATTAGCTACGGGTGTGACAACGATGGCGAGTTCACTATGTTATATTTTCATTTTATTTCAGCAACCTTATCTTTCAGCAGATGATCCGGACAGCAATTTCAACATCAATAAAAAAAACTACATATGCCAGCAACACTGACTGGGTGTATCCTATGGCTTACCTTCCCTACTAACATAATTCCTAAATTCCCGAGACATTTATGAGGGGTCGTAGAGTTCTCTGCATCTCTCTTAAGTAAATGTTGGACTAACATACCTTTCCTATCCCTACCAGTTGTAAGGACGTGGCCAGGACAATCCTTAACTGTTGGAGCGGGATATGTCTTTATCTGGGAGATAGTAATTACTTCCTACTTACTATCTGTCCAGTAATAGATATCCGTCTTGCTCTTAATAGTTTTGAATTCGTACCACCTACGATATTGTGCAACTTGTTCGATGCTAATGCTAATGCTAATGCTAATATGTTTTATTGGATACACAAAATGTTTGAAGCCATGCGTCATCTAAACCATAATTTGCATCACCACAAATACGCTTGTCAAAAATCTTCAACTGGAACGTACTCACCAAATTACTTCACCCGGGAGCGCATTCCCGATGCTTCCACGCATATTTTTCAGTAGTCTTCCCTAAACAATTGGCGTTGACGGCACCGTCGAAAAATTTGCTCTTCCAGCAAATTTAGACAGTTTCTTATGGGAATTTTCAGTGGAGTGAAAGGATAGTACAAAGTCCGCCATGTTTCACGCACAGTCTGACGTTTGCTTATGGATTTTCTCATAGGAGTAAAGAGCTGCAGAGTCGCCGTCAACGCCAATTCCTCCTCCAGCGACTCCAACCAGACAACAACCTATCACTTTTCTTCGCTTTTCTTTTTCAAGTCACTCCGTGCACAAAAGCAATGCACAATGCAGATAGCGCCAAATCTTCTGATCACGTTCGATCAAACTGACTGACTAAACGGAAAACTAAACATAGGTTTTGAACATTTTTCAAGATTACTAAGGCTGTGTTCTAATGGTGAATTTTCACTTAAATTTGACAGATTTAAACTTTTGAAATAAACCTGCTATTCCAGCAGACTTATTGCTCATCGATCAGGAATCAACCTTGACAAACACCTTCTCAAAAATCGGACGATCAACACCAGAGGGATTTCCGAACACTATAATTTACTTTCGAAGTGTAAAGTTTAATTGGAAATTCGGCAAATGGAACACAGCCTTGAAATCTGTGATTCTCGGTAGGAAAAGTGAAAAATCGGTAGTTTTGAACCTTTCATCTGTGAATCGGTAGGCATCCCAAAAATCGGTAGGACTACCGATAGATCGGTAGGACTACCGATAGATCGGTAGGTCTGGCCACCCTGCGTACTTTCTCTCTTGCTGGATTTCATCTTACGAAGACTCTTTGTTTGCCACGTATGACGATACATGGCACATGCCTATCGATAACATATGACAGAACATTAGCGAAAGTCCGTGCGGCAATTTCCACGTCGGTGCTATCGAGCTTGATAAGACCTTAGCGATATTATCACCGACAAACCGACATGAAACTTAAACTTAACTCTTGATCGAGAATCCATGACGGCCGATTCAAATGTGCAGCGATCCCATCTGTCAAAACCATAGAAATGTTTTATCTAGATAAAAATAATTTGTCCGAAATAGATTAGACACGAACCGTTAAATTTTGTACGCGTGTTCGTTGCTAGGAAAAATATTTTCCGCGAACGTCAGTTGTGTGCCACCGTTGATGTCAGTTGTGTTCTTTGATCAGAAATTTCTTTGTAATTTGTATGATCATCCATGTTGGTTTTCGGTGATACTATCAACCGGTGGAAACTAACGATTTAAAATTGGTTCACCACTTGACTTGAGAGTTACCTAGGGGAAATGCCTCTAATGTTGGCCTATGGATCTAAGATTGGGCCCATCGCTAAAAAGCTGCTATTTATCAATTTTATCTAGATGAACGCGTTATTGGGACGTTATTAATGGATATTTTTGGTTGCTATTGAAAATTTAGTCGATTGCTGAATTTATGTATGGGCCCAAATTAGGGTCACATTATCGACATTACCTGCATTTCCCCTATATGATATTAAATATTGTGATCAGCTTTCCGGAAATTGTTGATAACAGTAGAGGGACTAACTGTGGATTCAATGATGCGACGTTCCTTCAAGGTAGTCACTAGATGAGGGCTGAGGAGTGGTATCCTTCACCAGTGGAGCTGGTGCAGCAGCTAATGGAGTGGCACAGTCACGTTCACTGATGAAGCAAAGATCCAGCGTCCGGTTGTTTTCGTTTACGTCGTTGTTGATTTAATGCTACGTTCAGACTACAGAGTTATAACATGTTATAGCGCTATCTTGATGGTGGTTTCTGTGTTGGAATTATTTCACAACCGTTATAACATGTTATAATTCTCCAGTTTGTACAGCGTTTAAGGTAGCGTAGTTGCACTGTAGCTATTTCAGTAGCGTGCAGAACCGAATGTTCTAGGTCAGGATGGAGAAAACCGCTATAGAACGGGTGCCATACAACTCCCAGGAAGATTGAAATCTCCGAGAATAATCACTTCATCCACTGCAGAAGCTTTTTCAAGAACGGTCATAACCGACTGTGCATGAGAACGTACATATGAGCCTTGGGTGATGAAAACATGACCGATCGGTACGGCTCTCACGAGTCGTCTCTCATACGCTCGTTTCAAATGTTAATTGCTCAGCTTTGGGAAAATACACATAGATTTTCAAGTTACCATATGAAAGGGCTTAATTTGGAATACATTATACGGAAAAATTAGAAATATACTGAGTTGGGAGAAAATGCTATATAACATATAATATACAATATGTAACAACAATATGAAGCATTAGTGCACTAATTTATTAGCTAGAGAATGGTCTGAAGAGGATAGACTGATAGTTCCGTGGAAACTGTGGATTTTAAATTGGCTCACACTGCTCGGCAAATGAGAACGACCCAAATTTGAATTTAGTTCACTCATAATCGCCAAAAGTGCAGGAACTCAGCGATGAGTAAAATTTGTCTCATGGTTTCCTGTGGAAAACCTAAAAAATCTGTCGGAAAATGAGGAAATTGACGAAAATTTTAGTCAGTCTCGAAGTAGTACCAATAGACTGAGTGAATCCAATTTTTACTTTTCTCAAATTCGGGAATTTTTCCCTCGAAAATCCTGGAAAAACCTGGGAAAACATGAGGCAAATTTACTCATCGCTGAGTTCCTGCACTTTTGGCGATTATGAGTGAACTAAACTCAAATTTGGGTCGTTCTCATTCGCCGTGTGGACTAGCCTATCGGTCCCAATATTGGAACCGATAGGCTAGTCCACACGGCGAATGAGAACTTAAGTACATCGATGAACGGCTCGTGGATATTCTTATGTTTCGAGGGGTGCGGGACATTCTGGTCTTAGAGTTACCTCTATGATGGTGCTATGTACAATAATATCGAAGGTATTATACCGAATTTCTATTGCTGATTATTCATAAAATGTATAACTCAAATAATAAGTAGACGCCTTAAGATCATGGGTCAAATAAATGTATATTAATCCATACGCCATTATTTCACTGGAAATAATAATGTTTGATATAATATTAAAAAAAATATCTGTAACTTTGACTATATGTTTAGTATTACTTCTGCGTGAAGTCAACGATAGAAGGAGGAGATGAAAGCATAGAGTTGATATTTCCGTTAGAGTACGGCAGTGTGAAAATTGGTGGCGGAGGGGGGACACCCCTCACCATCCCTCTTCAAAGGGGGAGTTTGGTAAAGAGAGATGAAAAAACCGATTTGTACCTTCCTTAAAAGTTGTCCTAGCTCACTATCTACTATCTATATGCAATTTTCACACTGCCGTACTCTAACGGAAATATCAACTCTATGCTTTCATCTCCTCCTTCTATCGTATAAAAATTACCACTTTAGTCTGTTATTTGAAATTAGCATCTTCAACTATATCTGTAACTATTTTTATAAAAGTTATAGGGTAAGATGGGTCATCTTTTCAATAAAAAAAAACCAAGTAAATCCAGTAGATGTACTTGTACATGCACTTTAAATTACTTTCCCGAGACCGTAACGAAAACTGGTCACCCTATCCCACATTGAGTGAGTAAAATTAAAAGGCTCGACCCCTCCAGAAACGTTTTCGCTCCAACATCAGTCTGACTGTCATCTCGTTGGCAAGGTTCGTTCCATGAATGGAACACCTAAGCATGCAGTCATGCACACATCGAACACCCCAGCAGCACGGTAAACAAAGCCTACCGTTCTCACTCACACTCCCGTTATTCGCCGTTCTCCAGCCAGCCGTCTCCTTCGCTCTACACCTACACAACCGAGCACTCAACTATTCGACTCACCTGCTCCATTGATGGGATTTGAAAGCTGGAACTGTCATTCATGCGCTCTCTCGGTTTCGCGTTGACGTTCGTCGATATCCCCGTGCTGCACCATCAGGGCAGCGATTCGATTTTGTGTTAATTCTGCTCTCGCGGCGACCGGAGGTGGTGCGTTTTTGTGTGATTACTCGCGTGTTTGAAACAATACAAAATAATACAAGAAGCATGAAGCAAGTAGAACAACGACCGAATCAGCAAAATTGCCTTTAGCCCTCGGAGCGTTTCAGCAAAAGGTTGAAAACGGGGCGAATCGAAGTGGAAGGTCCTGAAAGCCACCTACGACCCGTGTGCATCGGAATTTTCCTACGGAATCAAAATCCGTGCGAATCTGAAGTTGTGCAGTGAAACTACTTTATCGATCAGTGAGTAGGTAGAGCGTGTGCGAGAACGGGAATCGTCCGGAAATCTCCGGATCCTCCCGTGGGGGTCCTGCTGAAGGTTGCTGTTCTGTGGCTCTTCGGCACAGTAGTGGTGCAAGGAAGCAAAGGAAAAAATCAGCCCCAAAAATCAAGATGGCGAGCAGCCCTCGTCGATAGAGGAGAGTGTGTGAGAGAAGGAAAAAGAGATCCTCTTTTCGCCTCCTGGTCTGCCTTGTGTGCTTTTTTTTTGTGTCGGTGTGTGGTAGAGTGAAGTGTGTTTTGTGCCAGTCAACCAGTCAACTAGCCAACAACCAGCCTGCAAAGAGGGTTTTTTCATTGTTATTATTCCATACGTATGATAAATTCTGTTTCGTGGTGTGTGAGTCAGAGAGAAGAAAAACAAGTGCATAAAGGTGTAGCCCCCCCTCCCTCGGAGGAGTTTTTTTTGTGCTGCTACCAACCTACTCGTGAAGGATTTTTGATTGAGAAAATTTTCCAATCCTCTCCTTCAATGTCCGCGATTTAGTGTTGATTATTTTTTGATATACCTATCTACCTTAGTTATACAAGAAAATATTTAGTTTAATGTTTTAATACAATTGCTTGAGAAGAAGGATACAGCAGCAAGAACCATCGAAAATGTCCGACAAAATTAAAGTCGCGGTGCGGGTTCGACCTTTCAATCGTCGAGGTAAGTTTCCCCATTACGGTTCTTCTATATCCTCCCCCATTGCGTAGTTCCCTCCATATAATTTGGTATCTAGCCAGAACAAGAGTCCAGTTTTCTTATACATAAAACAATATTAGTCATCCTGTGCTTGGTAGAAACATTCCTCTACACAACCCGAATAAAAATCGAAATCGAACGCATTTGACGCGATTTCTCGAAGCGAAATCAACCAAACGTTTGACCTTCAATTAAAGCGCAACCCTCGTCTCTGCTGACGAACGGAGTGTAAAGTAAAAGTTTATTGATGACGGGTAGTAGATGAATGGATTTACACCGATGGAGGAAGGAAGCTCACAAAAAAAAAATGAGGTCTCATCTCCCCAATCTATCGTTTGCACTTATTGACGAGTGTATCGGAGTAGCCGCACAGCTTTTCACCACCCATCTGGGTCTCCGGCTCCCCAGTTGCACATTGCAATTATGACTTCATCAAAACAGACATTTACAATATTTGCGGAACAAAGAACTGCACTGCCCGATGTGACTGTGTCGTAGTTGCATAGAGCATCGGATCAGAGATTAAACTATTCTATTTCAAGTTTAAATGCTGGAAAACATTCTGTAAATTAAAAGCATCACTTAACTAATTGATTAGCTACCTGTGCTCTTGACGGTGTTCCTTCTGTAGCTACTAGTTTAGTAGGAGAAAACGAGGATTCTCCGTTTGATATTGTTAGCAGCAGACGACGACGCGACGTAGTGAATACATTAGTGTGAAAGATTATCTTATCTGTTGACTGTATAATTTTATAGCATACTCAACTGTCTCTAGGTTAGCAGTCCGTTATACTTTATTCTGATGGATTACTGTCGCAGGTACACCTATACAAACGAGTTAATATTGCATCGATGCTTTGTATCCGCAGAATTTGTCGTTTCTGACGAAATTATCAGTACCTACACGATATATTGAGCAAAACATATTATTGAACTAGACAACATTTTTAATTAATGTGTCACCACTGTAAAATTAACTTCTTTGTTAGCTTATCTGGTGATCGAAAGTACGATAAATGCCTCTTAGATTTGGATGTTGTAAGTCTTCTGGAATTACTCATTTTTTAAATAGAATTTCGGGAATTGAATGTCTGCACATCAAACCAAGAAATGCAAGTGATTCTCTAAAATATTTTTTTATGCGCAAAATATGAGAGATCTGCAATAAATCCTCGCGTTTACAGATTATGTAATGTGGCCGTAGGAAGACTGCAAATTAATGTAAGTTAATTCTGTGAGCTATAGTGATTTCCATTAATAACTTTGACCTAGAGAATCATCTTAATAAGGTTTCGCACATCATTATTGATGCTGGGAAAAGTTGTTTGTTCATTTCAGTCCTGTTGTAAGAACATTTGTCGTAAGAAACAGGAGATTCAAGAATCCCATGTGTTTGCCGTTTGGTTTACATGCAGCAAAATTTTGATTGTGATGGTGATGATGATGGTCCACCACTTTTAATGATCGATAATTAGCATATCAATTATTTATTAGAAATCGCACGGCTTTCGAAGACAAAGGCAGTATTCTGTAACTTTCAGGGCTGTTTCCTTTTCCTAAATTACCTAGGGCTCCCATAAAACGATTATTATTGAATGTAACCATTTCTAGAGAAGTAATGAAATCATGTCATACTGGAAAAGTTGAAAAAACTGCCAAACCCACACTACTAGCACTTTATTTTTATTTATTTTTTTTTTCGTCGATCTTGTTTTCCGTGCTGAGCACCAATGCTACCGACGCACCAGGAAGGCAGCTCCCACACCTGGACCCTACCTATCGACCCATCAACTCATGAACCGGGGACCAACGGCTTTACTTCCCGTGATCAGAGGCGGCGAAAACCCTCTAAAAACTTCCAGAAATTTTAGAAACTACCAGATCTCATGAAGCTTTTGCCCGTACACAATTCTTCGGATAGTACGGTACTCCGCGTGCTTTCAGAACTTTCGAAACTTTAAAACCCTACTAAGTTCCTGAAAAACTCAGAAATTCCTGGAACAGCCGTCGGGGATACTCGAGCCAGGATTTCGAGGTGTAGAGTGTTTCATGAGTTCTGTAGTGTGGGAAGTTTCCGACGCTGCAGGCTGTCGAAATCATTCTGGATTTCGCAGAAAGTAGCAAAACTCTTAGGCTCTGAATATTCCGAGAATGTCGTAAATCTTAGTTTTTGTAGAAATAACAGTGTCTGGAGTTCCGGGAATTCTAAGAGTGTTGGATGTGAGCTGATCAAAAATGAGTGTTGGATGTGAAAAATCGAAAATTTCTTTATCATGACAAAATGACATACAGCTATCCACCGAAGAAGGCGTTACCCACTGAATTCTATCCACCGTTTTTTCTCGGCGGGCTTTCTACCAGTCAATAGAGAACTTGCAGATAATCAGAGCGAAATGGTTGAAAACTCCCCGAGAACAAGCGGTGGGTAGAACTTAGTGAATAAGGCGTTCTTGAAGGAAAATCTAGGTGAATGGGTGAACAGTAACGTAACGGCAAGTAATAGAGATAACATTGTTTCAAATTTGGTTAGCAACAAACGTGGTTGAAGACATAGCTTCCACCACGTGTGTTGAAAACAAAATTTCTTCTTCCATCCACCTTTCCAATCAAGATATGTTGCAGTGAGAGTTTGTCATGACAATCGTCGTTGCGTGCTCTCAGTGTTTTGATACTCTGTAGCTGACATTTTGGGAAGCACTGGGATATTTTAAATTTTTGCGAGGTCAATTCAGAGAGGGGCTGTTCAAAATCTACGTGGTTTTAAAAGGTTTTCGCCCCGGCACCTTCCCTCTCCGTCCATATACATTTTTGGAAATTTGTATAGACAATAGTTACTTGCTATAATTATCATTTCTCATCATTCTTCTTCAAATGTCATTAGAATATGCTTCAGAATTCCCTTGTTATATCAAGCCGAACATTGCATTAGGTCCTAAGTAACATTGATTGATTCTCTTCGTCGACTTTCTCTTTCGGAGTGTATTCTCGAATGAGATCCTACCTGACGAGTACGTTTCTCTAGCAGGCAGTAATGTTCCAATGTCTGGTCAATCTTTGGCAGCTATCAACATCGACCTCGCTATGATAACTAGGGCGGCTTCGCAACTGAAGTCTACATTTAAGCCTGGACCTGACGGAGTTCCTTCCGTCTTTCTCAAGCAACACATCGGAAGCCTGGTGGCTACTCTCTGCCTTCTGTTCAAAATGTCCCTCTTCAGGGGGTGTTTCCTTCCTGCTGGAAATCAGCTGAAATGTTTCCAGTGCATAAGAAGGGATGCAAAAGAAACATCGACAAATATCGCGGCATCACATCGTTGTGTGCCATATCTAAACTGTTCGAGTTTGTCGTTATGGAACCATTAGTCTCTCACTTCAAGCAGCACTTCAGCGAAGACCAGCATGGTTTCATGGCAGGGCGGTCGACCACTTCCAACCTTCTGTGTCTCACCTCGTACAATACGGAGAGTATGACAGACCATATGCAAACAGATGTCATCTACACTGACCTATCAGCCGCCTTCGACAAGTTGAACCATCCTATAGCGATTGCCAAACTGGATAGGCTCGGTATAAACGGCAGTCTCCTACGATGGTTCGAATCTCATCTATTTGATCGTCAGTTGGAAGTTGCAATCGATCTCCTTCGTTCCCTGCCGCTTCGAGTATTCCGCAAGGTAGCCACCTCTGCCCGTTGAAATTTCTTGTGTATTTCAACGGCGTCAGTTTCGTTCTCAGACGACATGAAAATCTATCTCCGAATCCGAGCCATCGCTAACTGCCACTTTCTCCAACTCCAACTCAACGCTTTTGCTAATTCGTGCCAACTGAACCGGTTGTAAATCCAACAAAATTTTCAGTAATCACGTTCTCACGGAAAAAAAACATCCAATTACATTCAGTTATATCCTAGAAGGCGTTGACGTACATCGTGTGAATCACATTAAGGATCTGGGAGTCATCTTATACCCCGTTCACATTACAGCGTATATCACGTGATATACGCTGTCTTGCAATGAGCACTCATACATCTAGTTTTCACTGGAAATCCTATGTATGAGTGCTCATTGCAAGACAGCCTATATTACGGTGATATAGGCTGTAATATGAACGAGGTATTAGATTTTCAACTCACAAACAGCCAGCATATCTAGATAGAGCTGGAATTAGGGCGTAACAGCTTTTTCTAGGAACTCAAGGCACGCCCACGCAGACTAACATAACCATCGGGTAGTGGAAGTCTTTCCCTATCCGATGAGGATGTTGGTTTGCGTGGGCGAGCCTTGAATTTCTAGAAATCATCGATAGAAGTCATTGTTTACAAAAGCTGTTAAGCCCTAATTCCAGCTCTATCTAGATATCTCGTACGTGATCGACAAGGCATCCAGAACGCTCGGCTTCATTTTCAGGATAGCTAAAAGTTTCACGGACATCTACTGTTTGAAGTCGCTTTCCTGCTCCCTCGTCCGGTCGGTGTTAGAATACTGCTGCCCTGTATGGAATCCCAATCACCAAAGCAGTGTACAAAGAGTAGAGTCTATTCAACGACGATTCATCTGGTTTGCCCTTCGACGGTTGCCTTGGAGGGATCCTCATCGCCTTCCAAGCTACGAAAGTCGGTGCCAGTTAATTCACCTGGATCCTTTGTGGAGTCGAAGAGATACGAAAAGGGCCCTGTTTGTGGCAGACATTCTACAGGGCAGAATCGATTGTCCTTCTATTCTACAACAAATCGACGTTAACGTTCAACCACGAGCACTCCGTAACAACGCAATGCTGAGGATACTTTTTCGTCGTACAAACTATAGTTCGTATGGTGCTATCAATGGGCTACAAAGGGTTTTCAATCGTGTTGCTTCCTTATTTGATTTTCACTTGGTATATTTTTAAGAATTATGAATTAAGTTGGACTTCACGGCCTTTGCAGCTTGTTACTTCTTGACTATATTGTATTTCCTAGTATTGCT